GGGGAGGGGGAGAAAAGGGAGGAGGAGGAGGTGGTCTCCCCAGCCACAGCCATAAGAAGTGGTGGAGACAGTGGTCTGAGGAGGGGCCTCCCTGGGCTCGGGCCTGGTACCTGGGGGTACCCTCTGCTGGGGCTGGAGTGGTCCCCAGGCTGCTCTGAGGAGGCTGCACACACCCCTTGGCCTTGGGCGCCCAGATGTCCAGGCTCAAGTCCCCAGAAGCAGACCCAGGATGAAGTGCAGCTTCCTGGGTGGGGCCGGCGGAGGGTCTTGTCCTTGACTGGTCCAGAACCAGGGCGGGCAGCTAGGATCCCCGGGACACTCTGAAGGGAACTGGGGGGCCGCCTAGTCATCAGCCCTCCCAGCTGGCTTCCTGCCTGTCTCCTCGGCTCTGCTGGCTGTCGGTGGCTCCCCCAGGCTAGAACGCCCGCCTGGTGGGCATGAGACCCAGTCCCCTCCCACCCCCAGCCCCACCAAGGCATACCCTGTGCCCTCGGCTGTCTGCGCTGGACTTGGCCTCTGGGTGCAGGTCTGTCCCCTGCTGCTGCCCCCACTCCCAGCTGCCATCATGCTGGCCTGGTCCTGGTCCAGGTCCAGCAGGTGAATAAGGCCCCGCTGCCCCAGGGGCCACTCAGCCCCACCCACAGGCTCCAAGCTGTGTGACTGTGAGTGTGGGGGGTGCCACTATCTGCCTGCAGCATAGATTCAGACACGTGGGCAGCTCATTAGGGAACAATCAAGACAGCATACACTTAAGAATGAGGTCCTGTCAGGCAGATTCTACTGGGAGCTTTGGAGGAGGCAGAGGGGGCAGGCAGGGGGAGAGAGACGGGTGAGTAGGTGGGGCTGGGGGGGCCCAGGGCCTGGTTGGGAGCCCCAGCCTCCCGTGGTGGCAGGCTGGAGCTAGATAAAGCTGCCTCCCTTGCTGTGTGGCCGGAGGGTGAGACCACTGCTCCAAGCCACCTGGAGCCAGAGGGGCACTGAAAGCCCTCAGGCGTGATTTGGGAGCAACATACAAGGCCCACGGTAGGCGAAAGGGGGCACGCAGGAGCAGGCGAGCGAGCAGGGGACAAAGCCTCAGCACGGGGGCAGGGTTGGAGGTGGCAGTGTCAAAGCCATCCTGGCTGGCTGGCCCAACTCCCCTGAAAGCACCAGCACCACCTCCTGCCCCTGTCTTGGGGAGTTCAGGGAGCATTTCGGAGCCGTGGCTCAGCAGTCCCCGCGTGCAGGCATTTTTGATGTTTCCCACATTCCCTTGAGATCTGAGCTTGGCCAGAGAACATGGGACCTCCTGTCTGAGTGTGATGGGGGAGGGTCTCCATCCTCAGAGTCCCTGGGCCACTGAGGACTCCTGCAGGCTCCCCAGGGGCCAGACCCCCCACCACTTTTCTAAAAAAAAGTATTTATTTTTGGCTGCGTCAGGTCTTAGTTGCAGCACGCGGGCTTCTCTCTAGTTGTGGTACGCAGGCTCTAGAGTGAGTAGGCTTAGTTGCCCCACAGCATGTGGGGTCTTATTTTCCCAACCAGGGATTGAACCCACGTCCCCTGCGTTGGAAGGCGGATTCTTAACCACTGGACCACCAGGGAAGTCCCCTGACCCCCCTCTTTTCACCCCTAGAAGAGGCTCGCAGTGAACAGCTTTCCTGCTGCTAGTGCTGGCGGGCTCCCAGGGACGGGAACCAGGCTGGCTGGTGGGCTAGAGGGGCTGCAGGCCAGCAGCACTCTCCCGAATCACCTGCTCACTTTGCAAGATTGGTAGATGATCCCCCAGCAGCTTCCAAACACACGCTGGTCGCCAGGGACCAGGAGCGAGGAGGCCAGAGAAGGCAAGACTCGGGACTCGGGGGAGGGGTTCAGAGCTTGTCGTTTATTGACATGAGCACAGAGGCCCCTGGGACTTGTCCCTTGGATGGGGAAACAGCCACCCTGTCTGGCAATAAGACCTCCTCGCACAGAACACCACTTCCAGGAAGCGCACCAAGATGTGCATGGCTAAACCCTCGGCAAGGCCGCAGGTGCATTTGGCAAAGCTGTGGAGCCTCGGGGAAGTGCAGGCCTCCGGGGCGGCCCGCTTGGGGCTGCAGCCAGAATCAAACCCAAGAGCTCATTCTGCAAAGGCCCACTTGGTCTCCATTTGGCTCGGGTCGGGCCCAGGCCCAGAAGCAGTGCAGCTATACCCCCACCCTCTGAATACTGCAGATGTGGCCAGGACACCTGAGTCCACGGTGGAACTCTAGCTGCAGGGAAGGGACAATCGGGGGCCGCGTGATGGCCCAAGGAGGACAGGGGTCACTAGAAGGTGACCCAGGACCCCAGACAGCCAGCCTGTGCTTCTCCTGTGAGGCCTTCCCCCCGTTGCTTTTCCCCCTGAAACACACCATTTCCTAATCCTGGATGCTGAGGATGGGCTGGGTCAGGGAGGCCGTGTTTCCCCCTGGGATTTCGGCACTGGCAGTGGCCCCTCTCCTGGGCCTCCCCAACCCCTGCTGCCTGGGAGCTGCCCCACCTGTGAAAGCAGGGCTCAAGAGCTCTGGCTTTTGTTTTCCATATAAGGAAGGTGCTGGCATCAGTAGCTTGATTCTTCCGCAGCCCACTTACTGTTAAGAATAGATACTAATACTTAATGACCCCCCCCTGCTGGCGGGAGGAGGGGCCCTTAGCCCTGGCAGCATCGCCTCAAGACGCCCTGGTTTGCCCAGCACCTCCAGAATTACAGTGGCGGCTGCACAGACTCAGTGCAACAGACTCAGTACAGAGGGGGCACTGAGGCCCAGGGACGCACAAAGATAATGACCGAGTGACAAAGCTGGGGCTTGAGGAGGCGACAGAGGTTTCCAAACCAGTGTCCCTGGCTAGTGGCCCTCTTGGGACTGTGACCTGAAGAGGAAGTGGGCCAGGACTCGCAGAGGCTGAAGGTGCCCAGTCCAGAGGGGAGGATGGCTCAGTGCCCAGGTGTTGCACGAGGCAGGGCTCCCTCGGGCCCCCACCCAACCTGAGGGCTGGCTGATCCCTGTCCTGGGAGGGGCCGTCGAAGGGGCCTCTGGCTCCCAGAAGGCGGGGCCTTCAGGTTAGACAGAGCAACACCTGCTCACTGGGCCACCAAAGCTGCTCTCTGAACTGTGACCATGCTAAAGTTGCTTTCTACCAGGAGCCCCTGAGCACGTGGTCTCAGCCGCTTCATCCCTGCTGGGACAGGAGGTGGGCGGGGTGGGGGAGTGGGGAAACGCTTAGCCTGCAGGTGGCGTCCCCTGCTTCCTGGGGATTGGCCTTAGGAGGGGCTCTCACCGCCCTCCCTTCCCTGGGTGAAGGGGGCAGAGTCTCCCTCAGTGCAGCCGGGATCAGGGTGCTCCCTGCATAGCCTTTCCTGGGCCCTCCTACTGCAGGTGGACTCTGACCACCTCCATGGGACCCCGCAGCCTCAGGGACACCAAGCCCCCTCAGTGACATCCTCTAAAGCCACAGCTAAGCCACCCACTGCCCTTCCCAGACTTGCCAGCCTCTGCCTGTGGCAGCCTGCCCACCACAGGGAGCCCAGGTACTCCCACCAAGTACCCCTCTCCCTGGGCCCTGACCTCTGCCTGGAGCCCCTGCCCGGCCCTGCGCTTCCACCCCTATACCCACTGAATGGGAGCCAACAGGCAGGTGGGCTGCGGGCAAAGCAAGGCAGCAGAGGCCGCCACCCACAGACAGAGAAGGACAGACTCCCAGTGGCATCCCCCCTGCCTCCAAACACAGCCAGATACCCTCAGGCTGCCTCGGCCTTGCAGAGCCCCTTGGGTGTGTTTCCTGTTGAAACCAATTTAACTACCAACACACAAGACCTCTGGAACATTCCAAACAGCAGCAAGGACCCGCCCACTGGCGGAGCTCAGTCCCTCAGCCTGGGGTCCAGTCAGAGACGTGAGGCAGGGCCACAGTCACCCCGACTCTGGAGCCCCAAGGCCTAGCCCACGTTCTCATCGGCGCATCACAAAAGCAGAAAGAACTCTTCCGGGAAGAATTCTGGCCAAAATTATACGATTCTGACAAAACAAATCCTGCTTTTGAAAAAACTGAAACGTGCTATCGGAACCCATCACAGGCCCGGCACTTCCAGCCTTGCCTAAAGCTGTTTAAGGCACTTGAATGGCTTATTTACACCGCCTGGAAAAGTGTGTTTCAATCCTGATTTAGAGGAAAAAATCCAGTAATACTGCAAAAGAAGTTTCTCAAAAAAAAAGCAATTCTTAAGTTTTCTAAGGAATAAAATAAGTGCTGAGCTCTGCTTAAGTTATATGACACAATGGGTCCTATTGGCACTGACAGAACAAGGACAAAACCTGAAATACTGCTTCTGAATTAGACTTTTCCCTGGAAAAAAAAAAACACAAGACACACGTGTCTTTGTCTGAGTGTTCCCTCCCTGGTGCACGAGGGGTGAGCGGGAACCAGGGAGGTCACTGGTGGGCACTGCAGATCAGACCCCTGGCGCCCCCACTTCCCCATGAGGCCACCCTCCCCACTTGGGAAGCCACTTGGCTCGGCCAGGACCTGCTGGGCACCAGGACCAGACAGGAACACTGGTCCATACAAGCCCTCCCAGTGACGGGCAGTGAGGGGTGGATGGGAAAACTTTGCTGGACACCCAGGCACTGGAAAATGTCTGCGGCTCCTGGTTCTGCCCAAAGGTCCCCCACACAGAGTCCTGCTACCCTGCGAGCATGCCCAGTGTCTTTGGTTTGGCTGTGGCTGCTGCCTGTAGCCTCTGGTCCCACCCCTGCCCAATGGGGCCCAGAGCCTGTCCACTTCCTGGGCCCCTTCTCCTCCGTGAGGTCTCCTTCCTTTGGACATCCTGCCATCCCACTGTCACCCCGTCTGCTGTGAGCAGGCGATGCCCCTGGCAGCCACCAGGATGGGGTGACGCAAGCAGGGCCGGAGGCCGTGAGTTGCGTCACCTGCCCACCTCCTGCCGTGTCCTAAGGCATCCGCGGGGGAGGATCACGGGGGCGGGGGGCCCGGACCTCCTAGCTTCTCAGCACACCATCGGTCTCTGGCTCCAGCAGGTCTCGGGGGTCCCGGAGGAAGACCACCATGACCGTGATGTTGTCGTGGGAGCCCCGCTCCCGGGCGGCAGCCACCAGCTCCTCAGCCATGCGCAGCCCGCTGCCCTGCTGCCCGACCAGGTGGCTCTGCACGAGGCCGGCCACCTCCTGGTGGGGGACCACGTCGAAGAAGCCATCGCAGGCCAGCAGCAGGTAGTCCTCGGAGCCCGTCAGCGCCCGCGAGGCCGTGTCCGCCTCCCCAGACACATAGGGCTTCTGGAAGACGTCCCCTGGGCGCGGGAGAGAATCGTGAGGGCCATGCCCCTGCAGCTGTCCCCTCCCCAGGCCCCGGCCTGCCTGTGGCCACCCCGCCTCCAACACAGGGTGAAAAGGTAGCTTCGCAGGGTGCCAAGTGCTCCAAAGGAACAGAGCAGGGCGATGCGACAGACTTGCCATGTGTCCCTGCGGGCAGAGTCAGAACCCAGCAGGGCCAAGGGCAGCTGCCTACAAGAGCTGTCTCACTTCAGAGGGGACACAGGCCGAGGATGCTGCCCGGGTGTGGCCCTGGCCCTCTCCAGCCCCTGCGGCTCCCTGCACACCCAACGGGCACCTCAGCCGAGTCGGGATGCTGGCTCTGCCTCCCATGCACCCTCTCCCATCCCCCTATTGCAGGAGAGAACAGGGCACAGCCTCCGCCAGATCCTGCCCTGGGCTTCTCTCCTGCTCAGGCCTCCCCTGAGGGCTTCCCGCTGGTCCTCCTCCCCTGCTGTGGCCCCGACTTCACTTCTCCCCAGGGCACGAGCCAGACATGTTGCTCCCTGACACGGAGCTGCCCAGTGGTCCCCTCTCCAGTCCCAGTCCCCTTGGAAGGAGCCTGACCCCTCCTGGCCTCCATGTGGGCCACCTCCTGGGGTCCAGCTGTAAGGAAGGCACCATGTGTGTCAAGAAGCACAGAACATTTCAGGAGGCTTGGAGGGGCCAGGGCCAAATCTCAGGTTGTGGTGGGGGAGCAGGCAGGGACCGATTTCTCAGCCCTGGAGGGAGGTCTGAGCCCCAGACCAAGGCCTGGCAGCCACAGGAGAAGATAGGGTGAGGGAGGGGTGCCGTTTTTCTCACTTTTTTTTTAAGGTAGAAAAAAGAATCATCAGCGTGAAAGGTGGGTAGGGGAGGGTGAGCCTCATTTATAGACTGTCTATTAAAAATTACCTTTAGCACATACAGTAACTGCCAAGGGTTTCCTCCTAGATCTTTCTGAGAAACTGTTTTAATGAATATAACAAGCTGCAATTATCTGTGCAGGATACAAGTTTCCAAGGTGGCTACACCTGTGCTCTGGATTCACCAGAGCCCTTTTGCAATCTGACTGATGAGCAGGTGAGGCTGCATTCCCAGACCACCCGGTGAGCACATTCCCAGGCCCTGGGGCCCCCTCCCACCCCCCTCACCTCCTTACCGATGGCTCTGGAGACGGCCAGGGTCCCATTGACCCTCCAGCAGTCCATGTGGGACACGAAGCCACCCAGTGCCTCGATGCGGTCCTTCTCGTCCTGCGGAGACAGCCAGGGTGGGCCGGGTAGGCCGCGTGTGCCAATGGCGTGCCCGCGCTGCCCAAGGGGAGACCAGCTGGTTCCAAGGCAGCACTGGGAGCCACGGCTTTGATCAACGCCCAAGGGAAGGCTTAGTGAGGCAGTGAGAGATGATGAACAGCCTAAATCATCCCAAAGATGCAGGAACGGCTAAGCAGGTGATGGTGCCAACAAAGACGGACGGCCAGTCCCCGAGCAGCCTTTCGGGGTCCAGGAAATGCTCACGGCAGCAGAAAGAGCCAGAGCCCTGGGGTCCAGGTGGGGATGCTGTGCCTCCCTCAATGGACCAAGCATGTGTACCTGCGGCCACTCTGCAGAGCTAGATGAAACCTGAACCAGGCCCTGGACGAGCCCTGTGCCCCTGCGTTCTTGTCCTTTTCACCCCACCCCTACCCCCATCCAGGCGCTGTTTGGCTCCACAAAGGACGACGGTGCTCCAGGCGTTAAGAGGACAGCACAGAGGCCTGGTCTAGCCATGAGTCCTAAAAACCGTTTCGGTCCTATAAACTCCCCTGAAGGAGAGGTTTCCCAGACGTGAGCCTGCTGCCTGAAGGGTGGTAACACAGTGCCTGTGCTGGAGCAAAACCCCATTGCCCCATGCCCTCCCCTGTGGCTCCCACCTCTGTTACCTCACCTGGTACAAGGCTGGGGCATCCTGGGGCTCGGGGCACCCCTATCTTCACCTCTTGTCTCCTGGGATACCCACCGCCTCGGCTGCCCTCTCACCTCATCCTTCCCACCTGCCCGAAACAGCTTCCCCAAGGGCAAGCCCAGAGCTGGTGGCCGGTGGGTGGGTTCCCAGCGGCTTGGCTCACCAAGGCTCCCTGCCCACTGCTTCCTCTCACCGGCCCCACCTCCTGCCCACTCGCCCAGGGCTGAGGGGCTGAGGGGCTGACCTGTGTGCGCCCAGGCAGGTGGCCGTTCCTCCTATGCTCCCTGCCACAAGGCTGCGCTCTCCCGCTTCCCCCCTACCTCTGATGAGACTCGCTCAATCTCCTGCCACACCCTCCCCATTGCAGACCCTGCAGTTCCACGCGTGGCCCCCGGGCCCATATCCCCAGCCCCTCCAGTCTTCACGGGGTGTCCCACCAGCCCCCACACTCCCAGGGAACATCCCACCCCGAGCTCCCCGGCCCTCAGACCCCGGCCCTCATCACCCTCTCAGAGGCCCAAGGCCTCTCTGGCTCCCCATCCCAAAGCCTGGCCGCCCTCTTCTCTGTCCCTCCTGACTTGACAGGCAGGTCCTCCCTACAGCTGGCTGACGACTACAGTGGCATCTTTGTGACCCAGGTCTCAGCTTGCCCTCCGCTGGTCCGATCATTCCAGAAGCCACCAGATTGCTTACAAAGTGCCTCTTGCCCCAGGAGCAGAAGCCGTGAGTGCCTCAGTGGCCGGTCCTGGCTTAACCTGCTCTCTCCTGGACCCCAGGTCTGCCCTGCCGGGCCCACACCTGCCTTGGGATCCGGCTCTGCCTCCTTCCCTCTCATTTCCACATCTCCCAACAGCTTGTCCATGCCCTGCAGCTCTCAGCCCCAAGTCTGGTCCCTTCCAGCTCCGACTCAGCGTCACCTCCTCCCTGAAGCCCTCTTCCCCCACAGCCCAGGTGGCTGACCACTCCCCACCTGTGTGCAGGAGAGGACCCTGCCCATTAACTCCACTTACTGCGCCACCTGCTGGGCAGAGGGACCAGCTCTCCCCCACAGCTCTGGGCTCCATGTTGCTGTGACAGGAAGGGCTCGCGCGGGATTTCTGGCAGCTAAAGCCCCAAGCTTCACGGGACCCCCCGCCGCTCGAGTCAGGCAGGGAGCCCTCCCCTGGAGGAGCACCAGGAGTTTCCGGGGAAGATGGTCCAGGGCCCCTTTACGTCCTAGTCTCCCTGACCACCTGCCTGCCCGGGGGCCCCTTACCTGCCGCTCAGGTCTGTGTGGCTCCATCAGCTTCACCACCTGCCCCTGCTGCACCAGGACCACCTGGGAGTCCCCGAGCCAGGCCACATGCAGAGTGTTCCCAGCGATGAGCGCGCACACCCCTGTAGTGCCGCTCTGCAGCCGCTGCAGGGAGAGGGTGCACGTGGGTGAGGATGGCGAGGCCACCACAGGCACACGCCCCACACTGGCCAGACACCAACCCCGGAGCAGCGCTGAGCAGGAAACAGGAACAGACCGATGCACGCAGGGACCGGGCAGCAGGAAAGGGGCATTTACGTCAAGTCAGCAGAGCAGACTTTGCCATTTCACAGTGTCAGAAAGCAGACAGGTGGGTGTCTGGGGAGCTGGGGGGCGGGGATGACCAAAGATAGAAGAAACTTTGGGGGTGATGAATACCTCTGTTACCATGGTGAGGGGCACACGGGCACAGACATGCCAAAACCTACCAGACGGTACTCTTTGGACAAGTGGAGTCTCTTACGTGTTAATTACGTATTGGCAAAGGTGTTTTTAATAACACAGCCTAAGCTAAACAGCTCTGCCTCAGAGACTCCTTTCTTCACTACAGCAGCAGCCCTGAGCTCCCGGCTGGCGGGGCTCCCACCTCACAGTCTTAGACCTGGAAGGTTTTCTGTTTAGATTCAAATCCAGCCTTGTTGATTCTGGTGAGGTCTGTGCTCAGAGCATCTGATGACAGTGCCTCCTGCCCCCACCACATCTCCTCAGGCTTGTCGACGGGGCCAGGCCTGAGCTCTCTGGGCCTGTTTCTCCATCTCAGAAAGGGACACGATCTTAGTATCCACCCTGCTAGGAGGACCCCCGAGGTTCCAAGGTGAGGTTCACTGGGCAGTAAGGTCACAGAGGGACCGGATGCGTCCTTTCTTCTTTCAGAAACAAACGCCTCATAGCGGTAATTGCCGACACCAGCAGCCTAGGGAGACCTGCCCGGGGGGAGGTGTTTGGGGGGTGGGGAGCCTCAGGTGGACCACGTGTTGCTGCTTCCCGTTATTGCCCTTTGCCGATGGTGCGTTTTTCACAAATTGAAGGTTTGTGGCAACCCTGCCTCGAGCAAGTTTATTGTCACCATTTTTCCAAGAGCATTTGCTCACTTCCTGTCTCTGTGCCACATTTTGGTAACTCCTGCGATATTTCAAACTTTTTCATTATTATTATTCTCTGTCACGGTGATCTGTGATCAGTCATCTTTGATGTTCCTACTGCAAAAAGATCAAAGGCTCAGACGGTGGCTAACATTTTTTAGCAATAAGGTGTTTTTTACGGTACCTGTGTTGTTTTAGACGTAATTTTGCTGCACGCTTATAGATGAGGGTACAATGTAAACATAGCTTTTATCTGCACTGGGAAACCAAAACATTCATGTGACTCGTTTTATCCCAACATGCATGTTACAGAGGTGGTCTGGAACCAAACCCGCAAGATCTGAGGTCTGCCTGTATCGGTGCTGTGTTTTGTTTTCTGTACTTTACGACGTTTAGACAAATCAAGGGCCTTCTGAATCCTGAGGAAAGTACCCCTCCCAGGTCTAATTCTTAAAGAGAGCAAATGTCTCCCCAGGGAGTGTGCCTTTTCTGCACAAGCCAGGTGGTCTGAGCGCATGTCCTCAGCCATGGTCCCTTGCCAGGCCAACATCTCCCTGGCCTGGATGGCTGGGGACCACCCTGTAGCCCGGAGCCTGTCAGGCTTACTCAAACTATCTGGTCCTCAGCTTGTGACGTGCCTGCCTACGGAGGTCACATTGAAGCCTTGGGGCCACGCTTTCCTCTCTCTCGGCCTCCTGGCTGACGCTGGTGCTCCCCATGTGGCCCTGAGTGGGGTGGCGTCTCCTCTTGGGAACCACAAGGCAGATGCCTCTGCATCTGTCATCCCACTGTACCTGATTAGGAGAAAATCCTGGGTGCATTTTAAGACAAGCTGCCCTTCCCCGTGAGGCCCTCACACCCCCTGCTAGAGTGGGGGCAGCCTCACACTGCTTCTATTCAAGCCCCCTTCCAGGCACAAGTGAAAGGACACGACTGCCAGCAGGGTTGAGCAAGGGCCTTCTGCCAGCACCAGCCATTTCGGCTTCCTTCCCTCTGTGAGGCCTGGCTCCTCTGGCCCCACCATGGTTCTCACCTCTCGCCTGGCTTTCCAAAGGAACATCTCATCGGTGCAGCGGAAGGCTGCTCGCAGGGCCCCCGCGGGGTCAGTGGGCAGCTCTGGTCGGTGGGCAGCGACAGCGTGCACATGCACAGATGCGTACCTCGCGGCGTCCACCCCTCCGTGACCATCGAACACGGCAAAGTAAGCACGGTCCACAGAGTCCTAGTGGGGAGCGTGGTGGGGGTCACAGTCCTGCCAGCCCTGGGCCTGACTGAGGCCACAACCTAGCCAGACTCTCTGGTCTGGGGGTGGAGATGGGCACTTCTGGGACAGGGTGTGGCGGGACAGCACGGTTTCCACCACTAGACAGGCTACGTTGGGGGGGTCTGGGAGAGGATGACCCTCGGGAGCCTCAACTTCTGCTCTGGGCCCAGCTGGGGGGAGAATGGGATGAGGGGAGAGGTGCCAGGAGGCTCCCAGTGGGTGGGGAGAGCAGGCTCAGCAAGCAGGGGTCCAGGTGCATGTGGTGCTGGGGCCTCCCGTTCCTTAGCCCCTCAGCCGGGAAAGCCAGGGGCTGGGGGCTGCCCAGGCCTAGGAGCGCTGGGACCTGGCCCCCTGACAGCAGCCGTGGCCATCCCTCCTGTCTCGGCTCCAGCTGGCAGCCCTGCTCGGTACCCAGGGTCCTCCCCCGCCCTTGCAACCTCCCACTTCCCACCCGGCCCTCCCCACCCAGGCAGAGCACTCACCGATAGGCCAAAGAGCAGGTTGAAGGCAGGGAGGCACACGTGCCGGTCCTCCATCCTGCGGCGGGCGTTGCGGATGGCGTGCACGGAGCCCAGCCACTGCCGCTGCGGGACCCGGGCAGCCATGGGCACCTGCTTCTGCCACTGGCTGCACACTTCCCAGAGCCGGTCAAAGAGGCTCCGCGCCAGGCCCGCAGCATCCAGCACTGAGGGGTAGGAAAGGGGGCTGTTAGGGAAGCGCCACCGCAGGCCCTCGGGGGCTCCCCACTCTCCACCCCCTTCCCATGGCCCCTGTAGCCCATTGCTGCCCAGGGCCTCCTGAGCACAGCAGCCTAAGAAACCGTGCAAACAGCCTGTGTCATCAGCATGAGAAGTGTCTGGTTTGGCAACACACACAAGGAGCACCTCCCCACCTCAACATGGCGAGCCCACGACCCTCACGGGAGCCCACCCCAAGGAAAGAGCCGGATACGCAAAGATAATTTAAGAACAAGTACAGAATCATTTATAATTGTGCATTAATTAGAAATAATATACATCCAACAACAAAGTAAATTATGGTCTGTTCTCCCGGCGACGAATTAAGCTGCTATTTTTAACAACTAAACACGTAACTGCCATTCGGCCCAGCAATTGCACCCTGGGGCTCGAATCCCAGAGAAATGGAGACTAGTTCATGTGAGACATGCGCCCGGTGGTCCCAGAAGTGTTATCTGCAACAGCTAAATGCTGGAATCAGCCCAGACATCCTTTAACAGGTGAACGATAAACTCTCAAACATCGCACCCCAAACAGTGCTCACAGGAAGGAAGGAAAGAGCTACTGACGCACAGAGACCTGGGCAAATCTCAGGGAACCACACTCAGTGAAAAAAGCCAATCCCATGTGATTCCATTTATACACATACTTGAAACAACAAGATTATAGAGATGGGTGGCTGTCAGGGGTTAGGGTGGGGAGGGGGTATTACTGGTAGCCATAAAGGTAACATGACATCCTTGTGGGATGAGATTACGTCATGATCCTAGTCGTGATATTTCACTAGTTTTCGAGATGTTACCATTGAGGGAAACAGGATAAAGATGCAGGGGGTCCCTCACTGTTATTTCTCACAACTGCACGCAAGGCTATGGTTACCTGAGTTTAATTTTAAAAAGTTAAAGGGTGAAACAGAAATAGACTTTGCAAGCATATGAGATGCTCATGTCACGACATTTAAAAAAATTGATATTAAGAAAAAATGTGAAAAAAAAAGAAAGAGAGGAGATTACACATATGGTTTGATCATGAGAACGTGAAAAGCCTTCAACCCGCTTGGGCCCAGAAGATAAGAGGCGGGAAAGGCATAAACCTCGTAAGGTCAGCAGTGGGCATCCGCAGGGCTGGGTCCGCGGCTGAGGCTTTTCCTTAAGGACACTTTTTTGTGCTTTTCCCATATTCCACTACAACCAGGAGCTGGTTTTAAAATTCTTCCATAAATGCTTTGCTACTTCTCCCTTCGAGAATGGGGCCTAATCCCCTCCCCTTGAGGGCAGGAAGGAGGACCTCGGCCCACAGACTCCCACAGACTCCCGAGGCCGCTCAAGGGAACTGCTTGCTGGGGCAGGGCGGGGCGGCTGGAGTCTCCACCTGCCCGGCCACACAGAGGTCTCAGTCATACCTCCGCCCTCAGGAGTTGATTCTTTTTTTAAAAAAATTAATTAATTTTTATCTGTGTTGGGTCTTAGTTGCGGCATGCAGGATCTTCTGTTGCGGTGCACAGGCTTCTCTCTAGTTGTGGCGTGTAGGTTTTCTCTCTAGTTGTGGTGCATGGGCTCCAGGGCGTGTGGGCTCTGTAGTTTGTGGCACGCGGGCTCTCTCACTGAGGCGCATCAACTCAGTAGTTGTGGTGCACGGGCTTAGTTGCCCCGTGGCATGTGGGATCTTAGTTCCCCGACCAGGGATCGAACCTGCGTCCCCTACATTGGAAGGCAGATTCTTTACCACTGGACCACCAGGGAAGTCCCAGGGCAGTGATTATTATAACACCTGAGTGATGCCAGTTTTGCAAGAATGGCTTCGACAGACTGATTTGACTGTGTTCTACTCCCATGACAGGGGCGAGCTGTTAAGGGCGGCGGGCCCAGGCCTGCTTGGAGGGCAGGGCCGGCCCCAGGCCTGGCTCTAGGGTGTCAGCTGCGCAGTTCCTTCCCGCCAGCAGGTGGCGCTGACTTCCCGCTGGACGTGGGCGGAGCTGGCGGGGTGCCCCTTTGTGGGCTGCGCGCGGGCTCTACAGAGGACAAAGGCGGTTTGTCACCCGCACAGCCTCAGGGCAGGAATTCAGAGCTGGGCTGGGCTGGGCTGGAACGCAGCAGCCGGGCGGGGAGCCAGAGAACAGGGTGGGGGGCGAGGCCACGTGTCCCCCCCCCCCCCCCCCCCCCCCCCCCCCG